AAATTCACCCCCTTTTTAAATTCACCCCCTTTTTAAATTCACCCCCTTTCAGACACCACGAATAACTCCCCATAATTCTGTTTATAACTGACACTCAGACACTGACACTTCTCCCTTCATCCAGGTGATAAATCTGGCAATGAAACCTAATTATTATAATAAATATTACAATGAAATCCCCTATTCTGCCTCTCCCTCTCCACAGCCCTGAAGAGACAGACCAGTGAGGGCATCAGGCATTTGGAACAACTGAAAAAAAACCAAATTAAACAAGGTTTTTTACTCACAAACAGAGGAATATCCTCTGTCTCACTGATGGCTGCTTTCATCATGGCCACCACGTGCTCGTTGGTGATCACTTCCTGCAGGGGGAAACACAAAAAAAAAAGTGTCCTTTACATTCTGCTTGTTAAAAAGACACAGAAAATATAATATAAATACAACAAACCTTAAAACAAACCACCTGGAAAATAATCAGTGTACAACGTGCTCTGTAATCACACTGCAAATAAAAGCACTGTTCAGGGATCAGACAATAAAAACCAGTGATAAAAAGGCTGCTCTGCATTCCCTGTGAAAGCTCCACAGAATAAATTCCCAGCAGAGAGAAAGCCAAGCAGTCAAAACAAAAGCCCACACCGGCTTCCCTGGAATTGTGTCACCAGTCCTGTCACACAGTCAGCAAAATGAGCTGCTCCCAGGCACGGGAGAACTTAAATCCTAATTAAATCCAATCTTTAAGCACTCACAGGCTCCCAAAACAAGGGGCTGATTCTCTGTAGAAAGTATGGAATAGTAAACTACATTATTATACATTTATAATATGTGAACCCTTTAAAAATTGTGCTGCACCACTCCAGCACCCACAGAGAAAGGCATTAATTTATGGTAATTAATTTATTGCACAGAATCTGCCTGAGAGAATCAGCCTGGCAGCCTCCACGTTGTCTGCCACAGGGATGGCAAAAAGGGGAAATATCTGAGATCACCTGGGCTGGAGCAACACCAACTGCAGGGGAGGGGGAAAAAAAAGGCACCATTTCTGGGGGAAAATAATTCCTGTTGCTCTCCAGCTTTGGGATGGGCTGGAATCCACAGCAAGAGGGGCAGAGTCAGAGGGTCACTGCAGAGCTCTGCCAGCAGAGGAATTCTGGCAGCTCCTTTCCAGCTGGGGGCCATGGGATGGGCTCAAAGCCTGGGCATGAACGAAGGGTGATGCATTTCTGTCGGCACCCCCGGAATTCCATCGGGATTTTGGGAGGAAACAGCAGCTCAGGGCCTACACCTGCTCCCCCAGAGGACGGTTTGTAGCTCAGTTATTCCTGCTGCTCAGGAAAAGCAAGACAGCCCCGTGTGCCACTGGAAATGAAGGGAATTGGGATCGACACCTCCCACTAAATCAGGGCCCGGGTGACACGGACACCCCCTGATCCTCCCTTTATGGATCCAACAGGACATGGGTGGCCAAGACATCCCTGTGCAGGAATCCCAGTGCTCCCATCAGCACCCACAGGCTGGGCTGGAGCCTCCTGGCCTGGATCAGGATCAGGGTGGCAGCAGGAGCAGGGCAGGGACTGTGCCCCTGGGAGGCCTCCCCTCGAGTGCCGTGTCCAGCTCTGGGCCCTCAGCTCAGGAAGGACATGGAGGGGCTGGAGCAGGGCCAGGGAAGAGCAGCGAGGCCGGGGAAGGGTCTGGAGCACAATTCCCGTGAGGAGAGGCTGAGGGAGGTGGGATTTGGGATGGACAGGAAGCTGAACAGGAGCCAGAGTGTGCCCAGGTGGCCAAGAGGGCTGATGGATCCTGGCCTGGCTCGGGATCAGGA